GGGGGGGCCAGTGCTCCCCCGGCCCCCCCCGCTTCCGCCGCCCCTGCACTAATAGTACAAAGAGGATACTTACTAAGGGTTGTCATAACATGATGCCTTTAGTCCTCGTGAAACGAGTCTGTCTTGAAACTGCTTTATAGTCAGACTATTACAACGTTCCCTAAAATCAAAGTAACAGGAGTAGTGACTTTTGCTTTTAGCCGTATTCATCAGTATTATTTAATATTAGTATTTAATTCTATCAGTATTGTGTAATTTTTAATTCAACATTGTATTAGTTATTTTCCAACATTTCGAAATCACCTGATGGGTAACGTTGAGGCCATTTGGGGCCATTTAGGGCATTATCGATAAGAACGGTATTCTCAGCTGAGGGCTAAGATTAGGGGGTTATTGCTTTGCAATGCAAGCATCTGAGCAAATTCTTTACGAATAAATAACGAATTCTAAAATCCATCAGTAATTTATTGGGATGTATGCTACAATCCCATATTCAGTATCAAGGAAAAGCTTTTGGTATATTTCTGTCAACTTGATAGACAAAAAATAATAAGAGAAAAATAATAAGAGTTTGTCGGGATTCACTTTGATGACACTCACAATGAAACGTGATGTAAAGAATGCCCAACAAGTATTTTTACTTCAGAGATGCTTTGAACGGGAAGGTTTGGGACTTGGTTCTCGGCAAGATAACTGAAAAAAAAAGTGTACGACATATTATTTTCCAGACCTGAAAGGTATAGTTCCATTCAGCTTGCCATCACATTTAGAGAACAACTTAGGGGGGCATGGTAAATAAAATCATGGATCATGTTAAAAGATTAAGCTAAGGATATGAGGCATTTGGCATTTTATTAGATATGTTGATGGCGGTACAAACACTAACAGCTTGCAATACTTTGTACTAACAATAGAACTAGCATAATTTAGAACACTATTTAGTACTATTTAGCTTTACAAGCTGCACCCTTTTAGCATTTGTGACCTATTGTAGGACGTATTTCAGGCTAAGGCTGGTAGGAAGTCTCCCTCGCCGCTAAAATGAATATTAAATACTCCAGGCTAAGCTGAATGGAGTTCATTTGAAAATTCAGCTGATTAGAGTTTAGTTTGTCTAGTTTGTCTAGTTTGGCTAGTTTGTCTAGTTTGTCTAGTTTGTCTAGTTTGTCTAGTTTGTCTAGTTTGTCTAGTTTGACTAGTTTGACTAGTTTGTCTAGTTTGTCTAGTTTGTCTAGTTTTGACTAGTTTGACTAGTTTG